GAGTCACATGCCCATGTTAGGTCAATGTACCCATGTTGACTAAATTACCTATTGAAATTATCACTCTACCCATCTTCACGTTTTCTGGTGAAACGGGTCAGTAGAAGACACTGAATGGAGTCACATGCCCATGTTAGGTCAATGTACCCATGTTTAGACTAAATTATCTATTGAAATTATCACTCTACCCATCTTCACGTTTTCTGGTGAAACGGGTCAGTAGAAGACACTGAATGGAGTCATCTGATCAACCGCAATAAACAGTTTGGCACAAGGATTCTGGCCTGCAACCTCTTATGTTTGTTGTGGTTAAATGTAAACTGACTGGACATTCTGATTTTGGGCCAGCTGGAATTTTTCCTAGAAAGTGCTAGCAGTACACTGATTGACTTTGTAGAATTGATTTACTAAAGGAGTGGTGAATGTTCCCTTTGCCAAGTGAATGTTCATTTAGCAAGTAAGTAAGCTTTCACTAAAACTTTTCTGTCATATGCAGCTGGTTTTAATTTGCATTGCACATGATTGGGTACATGAGCTCAAGTTTGGCTCTGGGTTCAGTCCAAACCCAAGTCAGCTGTCAGTGCTGGGTCAATGAGCTGCAGGTGGGGAATGCCCCAAAGCTAATATGGTCACACGCCCATGTTAGGTCAAAGTCCCCAAGTTTAGACTAAACCCAAGCTCATCATTAAGTGAACACACCTCCATGTTATTGACTAATACAAGAAACCTTTCCAGTTTGAATCTTCTCTACCTCTCTAGTAAATTTTTAAGTGAACCTGTCATGTACACCAAAGTTTTATATACTAGTTGTGGAGAGGGTTTACTGCTCCCATGTGGGGACCTGGAGAGAGAGCGTTAAGGCGTTAAAGCAGCACTTCGACTAAATGATTCTTCTCCTCAAGAACACATTTAACTTTTTGTAATCTGTGGCCCAACTTCTGTACTCTTTACATTGTTCACTACAGACATCAGTTACTGATTATGCTCTATGCCTGTGGATAACAGTTTTTCAATACAGTTCATTACTCTTCTCTCTGTATTGTGCAGCAATTCTGAGCCTGTGCTGCTAAGCTTGTACTGGACTCCACCAGCCTGGTACCCCTTCACCTTACTTCCATTGACATTGATTCATATATTTGACTCGATTACTAGGAAGCTGCACTCCTGTACATAACTTGTGCTTACTCTACTCCCGAGGCCTCACTCCATCTTCTGTGACTCCCACAAGAACTTGGGATGCCCTGTGCCACAATGTCAAATGAAGTGTTGGTGTTCCACTCGTTAGGGAAGGAGCCTAAGCACAAAAACTTTTCTACTACCAGCAGGGGTGGACTGACCATTGGGGAACTCGGGCAGTGCCCGAGGGCCCTGGGTCAGTAGGGGGCACCATGAGATGTCCCTTGTACCTTTCATAGGCTTTTTTGGGTGTGATTTGCGTGTGGGCGAGGACACAGGGGCCCCATGATCCCCTATTGCCCGGGGGCCCCATGAGTTGTCAGTCCGCCCCTGACTACCAGAACCTCCATCAGCTTTGCCAATACACTGCTTCCCAACTGGATGGTTACTTATGCACTCGACACTAGTACTGTAGTCATTAGCAACCGTAATATAGTCTCCTCTGAAAAGATTTACTGCACATTACCAGGGGTCTCCAAACTATGGCCCTCCAGCTGTTGAAGTACTACAAGTCCCATCATGCCTCTGCCTTTAGGGAGTCTTGCTTGTGGCTGTCAGAGTCTTGCAAGGCCTCATGGGACTTGCAATTCCTCAACACCCGGAGGGTCATAGTTTGGAGGCCCCGATTAGACATTTGTACTGCATCTACTCTAATGTGTCTTGTTCCCTTAATAAGCCCTTGAACCCCTTTAAGATTGTCCTCAAGTAACTCCAGACCAGACCAAGTTAAATAACAATAAACATTTTTTATTGAAGTTTTTGAAATATAACAAATGAACAGTTCACCCGACATATTCAATACACTTTCCTGTAAATGTTCTCTTAAGTATCCCTTAGTTAGTCCACTGGTGCCCCTAGTTGCCCCAGGAAGTAGTCATACCTTGGTGTTAGAAACTCCTTAAGTCCATTTAGCAGTGGCATAAGTCTATATCCTTGGAACCCCGACTGGGTTACACAGGAGGTGATTAAGTGCAAGAAGTCGTTCACATCCTTAGCGACATTCTGCTCCTTAAGTGGGGACACCTAGAACTGTACCTCCAGCCTTCTTACTGTAGCACCCCCGACAGGTGGCTCCCTCCCTTTTTATGTGTTTGCCCCAGCAGAGGGTGGTATATCAAAACCCGGGAACCTGACCAGTAGTGTTACCCCTTGCCTCCTAGAAAGTACCGCCTCAACAGGGCAAGCACAACTAAACACTGCAATATTCTAGTACAGAAATAGAATCATAAACATCAGATGAAAACAATAGAACCCTTTCACCACTTGCCCTCCTGAGGATTTACCCCCTTCCTGACCAGGCCTCTTTTTGCTATACTATTTTAACTGGTAATTGTGCGGTCATGTAATGCTGTACCTAAACAAAATTTATGTTCTTTTTTTCACACAAATAAAGCTTTCTTTTGGTGGTATTTGATCACCTGTGCGCTTTTTATATTTTTTGCACTATAAACAGAAAAAGACTGAAAATTTTGAAAAAAAAAAATGATTTCTTTTTACTTTCAGCTATAATAAATATATAGTAAACTCAAAGTTAGTCATAAATTTAGGTCAAAATGTATTCTGCTACATGTTTTTGGTAAAAAAAATCCCAATAAGTGTATATTGATTGCTTTGTATGAAGGTTATAGTGTCTACAAACTATGATATAGATACTGCATTTTTTGCTATACAGCGCTGCACTAGTTTAACTGACAATTGTGCGGTCATGCAATGCTGTACATAAATGAAATTTACGTACTTTTTTCACACAAATAGAGTTTTTTTTTGGTGGTATTTGATCACCTGTGCACTTTTAATTTTCATGCTATAAGCAAAAAAAAAGAGAGAAAATGTTGAAATAAAACTTTTTACTTTCAGCTATAAAAAATATATAGTAAACTCAAAGTTAGTAAATTTAGGCCAAATTGTATTCTGCTATATGTCTATGGTAAAAAACAATCCCAATAAGTGTATATTGATTGCTTTGTGTGAAAGTTATAGCATCTACAAACTACAAAACTTATAAAAATAGTCTTAAACTCAAACTCATTAGTAAACTCAAAGTTAGTAAATTTAGGCCAAATTGTATTCTGCTATATGTCTATGGTAAAAAACAATCCCAATAAGTGTATTGATTGCTTTGTGTGAAAGTTATAGCATCTACAAACTACAAAACTTATAAAAATATTTACTCCCTTTCAGTCTTAAACACGCCATTGAAAGTGCTTTTCAGTATCTCTACCATAAGATATCTGTTGATTTTGTCCCAAATTTTGTAAACGGATAACTTTCTGTGCTCTCTGCTTGTGCACAGCAAGGGGTTGTGGAGATGAGGATGGGGAGGAGATGAGGAGGGGAAAGATGATGATGAGAAGTTTGTGTTTTTATTATGTATCAGAAATGAAGTAGGCAGGGCTGACAACACGTTCTTAAAAAGTCAGAGTTGGGTTGTCATATCAAAGTGGATAACATTTCTGACACTTTAACAGTTATTGTTTAAAGATATAAAGTATTGGTAAATGTGAATGTATTGCAGAGATGTATAAAATATGTTTTATTTTTATTTTGTCTTGATATAAGCTTTAAGACCCTTTCCTCATTGCTAAATCTGTCTCACCAGACCCAGAACCTCTACTTGCCACTGTGGTTCTAGAATTGGAATGAGTAAGTAGTAACAGAGCTTGGTCCTGGAGGGGAAGTCACACAGGCAAACACAGTGGTTGAGCCTCTATGGTGATGTGGAGTGCAGTACAGATTCATCATCTCTGACCAGCGTTGCTGGCCAATATACCCATCTGTGCAGCAAGCACAGCAGCCAGGCAGGAAACACTGTGTAGTACTTGTCACAATCATGCACACAGGTAGAGGCGCGGTTCTCCATTTTGCTCCAAACTTCTGCATTTTGGTATTTCTCTTAAACTCATATGCCATCACCTGAGGGGTGAGGTGTAGCAATCGTGCATACAAGAGCCAGGCACAGCCCTCACTGTGTTAAGAAGTCCTAATGTTATCCCCTCCTTTCCCCCTCCCTCAGGAATGCAATCAGTGTATGATGCTGAGCCCCTGCCTAACAATCCTTTGACTAAATAAGGCAATTGGGTTCTGTTGTAAGAGACACCCCGTTGATTTTGAGTAGAAAAGAGGCTGTTATGTTTTGTGTGTAGACAGAGAAGTGAGGACCTTCTGCGATTTAACATCTAGCAGCCAGAGGGCAAAGGAGAATCACGCTGTAACAACGAAACTGAGTGCGAGACCAGAAATATCTTTTCAGCTCATTAGACTTGAAACTGCTTAACCCCAGGTATCTAGCAGGCAAGTACTTATTTACCTAAACTTCTTTCTGTTATCTGTTTGCTGTGCTGTTGTGCTCTTTATATTTATATATATATATATATATATATATATATATATTGGTTACATCTTTTTTCTGTAAATATTTCTACTGCACCCTTTTGACCTTTTAGTAATAAATCTTTCTTTCTGAAAGTGTTGAACTGTTTCTATAGCTCTTTAATGTGACGTATGAATCCCTGCCGCTGAAGAGCGCTACTATGAGTGTTTAACCCTCGGTATAACCTGTATGTGGAGATAGCGGTGTACCGACGAGTAACCAATCATCCTAGTGTATTGCAGAGTTTCCTCTTTCTCTGTCCAAAAAGGAGGTGGTGGCAGTGTGAAGGGTTAATTGCGTAATTAACCTGACCCAGTAACAAACGCTCCCAGGCTGCAGGTACATCGATTGTGGTACAATTAGCTGGAAAATCGGTGTGCAGGGTGCAGCTGGGCGTGGTATTGTTACGCACGTGACATTGCAGTGTTAGATTGGCTAGTCCTTCGGTCACGAGTTGATGAGAAGGTCAGGGGTCTGACGCCATGCCCGTCACAATACTTAGCACTTTTTTAACAGTGGAAAAATGGCAAAAATGTTTGTCTGGGGCAGGGGTGGACTCATGGTACCCCCGGGCAATAGGGGATCATAGGGCCTCTGTGTCCTCGTCCACACCCAAAAAGCCTATGAAAAAGCCAATGAAAGGTACCAGGGGCATCTCATGGGGCCCCCTACTGACCCCGGGCCCTCGGGCAGTGCCCAAGTGCTCGAATGGTCAGTCTGCCCCTGGTCTGGGGCAACATCCTAATATTTTTAGGGAGTGAAAGATTAAAAAAGGGAGATAACTCTAAGTTTGCACCAGTTTCCCAAACTTCAATTTTGAGGAACTGCACTAGAATTTTGGACGCCTGTCCATCATGCACATTTAAAGTGAACTATTCTGGAAAATGTAGGACCATTGGCGATCAAATTTGTCGATATTACATCCACTTTACCAATCTTTGATTTAACCTTTGTGCTCCCTAAACCCCTAGAAATTAATTTAACCCCAGAAAGATCCATTTTAAAAGATCAGAGGAAAAAACATAAAAAAGAATAGATATCGACAGTGCATAAAAAAAGAGACAGTGAAAAAAATATAAACCAAAACATTTAAATGTATGTGCAGCTAAACATTTTTTTTCTTTTTTTTTTAGATAGAGTAGGGAAGGGGTAAGGGCCAGTTCACACCACAAAAACGCACTCTGGATGCATTCCGGATACGTTTTGCTTACAGTTCACACCACACTCTGTTCCGTTGCAGTTTTTTTATGTAGTTTTCCATGTTCCAGTATGGCTCTGTGCAGAAAAAATGCAGCATGTTCTACTTTTTTTTCTGCATCAGAACCTGACTGGAAGTGACTGCACTGGTGTGCACTAGGGCCATTGGAATACACGGAGAACACTGTGCATGCATTTTTGATGAAGAAAAAAAAATGCACTGGACTGCATCTCCTGTGAACTAGCCCTAAAACCCTGTCGGTTATTATTTGCTGTCTGTGTACTATTGAGGAAATGTCATTTCATTTCCTGTCCCAGAGATGCAACAGGAAGTTAGAGGAAATCTTCCAAAGAGAGGGGAATTCCTCTCTTTTGATTTTGGAACTCCCCTTACTTTATTTCTCAGCAACAATGGTCTCTAATACAACTAGAAGGATAAATCTTCCCAGTAGACAACAATAACTTAACAGAGAATCTGACCCTCCCACACTCTATCCAGAAAAATATTTTACCTACAGATACACTTTAACTAGAAGGAGTTAATCAAAAAGAATGTTTTTCTTCACTGGCCTAGGTAGGTATGCAGGTAAGGAGAACAACAAAAACAGAAAAGGGCGCAAACGCCTAAAGCATGTAATCACATAGGCATGAAGAGCATTCGTCCACTATCCCATTCCACCTAATGAATGGATGACAAAGCCTGCTGACGCATTTTGGGGAAATTGGCCCCCTTCCTCAGATCTAAGGCCTTAGCTATGAGGAAGGGGACCAGTTTCCTCGAAACACGTCAGTGGCTTTTTCATTCATTCACCAGATGAATGGGATAAAGGGATGAATGAACTTTTTGCCTGTGTGATTAGATGCTTTCAGTAGACTGATCTTGTGAGTATAGTCTTATCAATAATGTTTCCTAAAGATAATGCACTAGGCGTTTGCAACCCTTTCTATTTTTGTTGTTGTTTTAGTTTTGGATTTCCCCGATTCGAAGAGGGCTGCACTGCCTATCTTTCCAGTGTTGGCTGCCTGACTTTGGTCAATTCTGTGGTATAAGATGGGGGCCTTCACCTTTTTTGAGTGCTAAAGTATCAAGTTTTTTTCTATTCTCTATTTTTCATGCAGACAAGGAGAATACAGACTAGACTAGACTGCAAGAGCTCTGTTGATCCAAATTTGATCTGCAGCTTTTGGATCCTGAATGACTGGGATGGTCACTGTGGTCATATGATTATTATGTCAGTTTATGCAGTCTTTGCACACTTTTTTCCAAGGCAAAATATGTGGCCTGCAAAAAATAGTGAAGGACATAATTACAGATGGCACTCAGAAAGGCACTATGCTCAGGATGGCAGATTACAACCACCTCAGGCTTGGGTAACACAGGTGTGGTTCATAAGGGCCAGTTATAGCAAGATGACTAAAGTAGACCATAGATAGTTGGTGGAGGCTAAATAGGAAATTACTAGTCCAAACTATTGATTTAACACCATCCAAATTGAAATTTTTCTCAAATTTGTCCGTTCTACAGTTGCAGAGAGTTTAGGGCATGTAGAAAAATGTGTGTACTCAACAAGAAGCAACTCTTTCATGACCTATTGAGCAATATTATTATGACTAAGAATATCCACACAGGGACAGCCCCTGTGCATTCACTTTTTAGGCTAGGTTCACATCTGTGCGGGTAGTGCAGCAGCGGATCAGCATGAAAATCCATGCAGCCGCACCATCCGCACAGAAGAATGCGGATCCGCGGGCGGGTGCCATTAGTTCTAAAGTCATGCCGCCCGCACTGGAAAACGCAACCGTACTGAGAACCGAGGTTCCCGTGCGGGATGAGTTTTCGGAAGAAGTGCAGGGACTTCTTCCCTGCGTGTCACGGGGCACGGGAGTCCATTCAAATGAATAGGCTCTCGTGCCTGCGCAAAACGCGGCCCGCACGGCCACATATATGTGAACCGGGGTTTAAGGTTGACCAGTGCATCGGTCTGGTACTGGAAGATCTACAGCAGTTTTGATGATTCTTTTCCATGGTTCTTGTAACTAATCTCTATAACGATGCTCTGGGTCCTGCTTCTTTGGCTATCCTAGCTAAGAAAGCCCATGCTTACTGTTGACTTTGAACCTACAGTAGTCTTATCTTCTCCTTGGCTTGCACCTATGACCACAGACCAAATCTATCTGGCCTGTCTCTGACACCCAGGTGTTTCAAGCTTGCTCCCTGCACACATACACCTAAGGTGACACATATGTAGAGGTTACAACTGTCTACAGAACACCAACACAGCCAGTACGTGACAAGCTACTGCAATTTCAAACTGCTCTTTGGCACTCAGAATTTAACCAGTATACATACCAGTTGTCACAATCAATACCCATATTGATAACATAGCTTACAATTATCAGTCTGTATATTTTGGACTTAAACTACCCAACACAGAGAAAAATAAGAGCATGATAATTCAATGGAAGGCTTAACAGAATGTGCATTTTTTTTTTTTATTCATCATCAGCCCAGGACTATGTATAGAGATGTTTGCGCATGATGTTTGAACTGGCATGTGGGTAGATGCAGTGTGGTGTGGCAGTAGATGCAGTGTGGTGTGGCAGTAGCGAATACAGAGTCCAGTGGCAGTAAAACCTGAAACTTGTATTGAGCAGAATGCCAACTTTACAAACACCCTAGTTGGAGAGCGGTGCTTAAGACAATAACTCACAGCTCAATGCAATCAAAGATGTGACTGAGGAGAGATGCCCACAGAGTCTGTTTCAGAAGGTGAAATGTGGCCTGGCCAGTTCGGTCCCAAGAGGGGAGGCTCCCTTCCAAGATAGCGAATCCCTAGCCTGTCCCTTCTCATCTGGAACCTTTCCTTACTGCTAGTTACTTTTCCTAACAAGTGGGGACTCTCTCCCTACACTAACCACTCGCAAAACCCATGGGCAGGGACTTAAATAGACCCTGTTGAAGCAAGATGGTCGCCAAGGGTCACATGTCCACACCATAGCCAACTGGAACATTACTCCATTGACCCAGGAAACCATATAAAACGGGAGTTTTCCTTGGACTTCCTTGTCAAGCTGTGGTACCACTTGGGTCAAGCACCATCTACAGTAGAGAAAACAGATTGTACCTGCCTACAGGCATGCTTCAGAAAGAGATGGAGGAAACCACTGTTTTTTATTAACTTGCTGTTTATGTGAGAAACTGATATATATACAATCAACTCTTGCTCTTCAGAATATAATTATATGCATAAAAATATGACATTTACCTCCATGACTGGAAAGCTTGAGTAGTATACAGACACATTCACTTTGACTACTAATGATGTTGGCTTACCCTGTAGCCCAAGAGATAACTAGGGAATGATTAAGGTGAGTCTGCATTAAAAATAAAACCTGACAATTATTTTATAATAAACATTTTAATACAGTTTGCCTCACTGACACACATAATGGGCTTTCAAAAACAAAAGTCCAGCATTGCCTGCATGCTTCATTGTTTCCAATGTATTGCTGACTAAGCCAAAGTGCCTTATCTCTGATAGCTGACTTGAGGGACTCATTCTTGCATTCTCTATATTCTGATCTTCTTGGCACTATGTTTCATATTTGTATGTTAAATAACAATTTTAATTTATCAATAAGTAATTTTTTATATATACCGCTTATAAAGATAGGGAATTCACTGAGCACATGTAAAAGATACATAAGCAAGGGTATATTTTACTTAAAATGACTGTCAAAATAATAATGACATTTGGGGTTTAAATGTGGCTAAAGTTATATGCAAAGCATGTGATTTCCTTTAAAGAAACAAATTAGCCCCACCTACCAGTTTTTGTGTTGTTGAGGTTGCCCCAAAAATTTAAAGGGGCAGCCTCAAGGAAGATTGAGGTGGGCCAAGCTGGACTTTCATTTTGAGATGCAGATTTTACAGGTATGCATTTTTTAAATTTTATATGCAGTTTCATTTCCCAAGTTTGTGACAAGTTTACCTTTGTATGAAAATTGTACTTCTACTTGCAAATGTTTAAGCAAATAAACACTGAATGAAACATAGAAATGAGGAATGCATTGGTTCCTCCCCACAATATATTTTTATTATCTTGAGGCTGCAAGAAGTATCAGCTCTGTATTCTTTAGTACTATGACCATTAAATAATAATCAATAAATCATGACTCATCTCCTTTTACATAAGAAAATCAGCACAACATTGAAACTGTGTTTCTCAACGTGAGAAAAGTTTCACCTAACACAACGTTTCAAAAAGTTTTTACAAAAAAGTTAACATTTTGTCCCTCCAAAATGACTCTTTAAGGCACAACCATTTACGAATAAATCAAAATGACAGATTACCAAATTCAATTTACTAATTTTGAAAAAATTTCCGCGATGCACAGGTCATGAATCTAAGAATTCTCTGCAAAGTTGTTTTGGGCTATAGACTTGGCAATTGGTATACAAAGTGCCACATCTCCAGATTACTCGACAACATCAGTGTAAATGGAAAAATGAAAAGTGATTTTTGCT